AAGGCAGGAGTCATCTTCAGTTAAGACAGTTTTATTTTTCTAACAGGGTGGTTGGCTTTTGGATGTTGTAAAGGCAGTAAATTTAAGTGAGTTTAAGAGAAAGCTCGATAAGTACATGAATGATAAAGGCTGGCTTTAAGATTTTTTTTTAATTATTTTAATTTAGGTTAAAGGATGGAACAGCTGAGATATACAAATAGGTCCCATGTTGTCCCAAAGCATTATGTTATGTTAAACCTGTCTGGGTCAGTGGGATGTCACTGATATCCTTTTCTTAAGTGATAATTAACCAAATTGCATAAAGCTTCAGAACTTACTAAATAGCATCTAGTTTTGGCTTTAAAGAATTTATACATTTTATTATGCATTTCTTTTTAGGTTGTGAAATACTGTTTTAAGAAAATATTAACAATACTTCTCTTTAATCTTAGAATTTCAATTACTTTTAACACTGATCAGAAAATCCCATTTTATATATATCCAGTCAGTTTGAACTAGATTAATATTTATTAACACATTTGTTTTGACCCTTTATTATGCCAATTACAATAGTCACCACTTCTTCCTATAAATGTTTAAAAACATGGCAAAACTGATTAAGATTTATTGGTAACTCTGGACCTCACCTTTTAAAATGTCATCACCATTACCTTTGTCAAGCTAAGTAACAATACTCTTGATTAATATCATTTACACAAATATAGCTTCTTTTCAATACACTACATGCAACTTTATTGATGGTATGTTGTCTGAATACTATAGATTTAAAAATAATGTTCAATGTTAAATTTCTGTAGTTTTCAAACAGACATAGCTTAAAACTCAAGTATACCCACAGATACTCCCCTTGAAAGTTTGTGTCTGTGGCATTCATTTCGCCCCTTCAACTCATTCTTTAAAAATTTAGACAGACAGATTCCAAATCCTAGCTAATTACCTGCTCTACTCATATGATTTTTAATCTTTTAAATGAAAATAACAGCTTACGATTTTCAATTATCAATTTTAAAACCATCAAAAAAATGTACACTTTTAGCAAAATCAGTATTTTTAGTCAATTAATCCAAACAAACGATTTTGAAAAATTACTACTTTGTTATAAGAAAAAAGCCTACATCTTTGCTTGAAATATCTTGTTCATAAAAAATGCTTACATTTGAGAATCATTATAACTAATTACTGATACTAGCTTTAGTAGACTCCTATGTGCTAAGAAGTATCAAAGTTTAAATTACTTGAAAACGTTATACAAATTTTCAATTATTTACATGTAAATACAAACCATAAATCTGACATGAAGTTATTAAACTAACAATACAATGCTTGATTTTGTTGCTAAGAGATAAATTTGGAAACTAAAGTGATTTTTATAAATTGAAAGGCTCCTCAATTTATGCTTCACGGTTGTTCATAGTAATGCCTTAAAAACAATATTGAGGATATTAATTCTGTTGTATTTCAGGTACATTTCACAGGTGGGGCAATATGTATGATTAGGTGTTGCACTTTGAACATTTATAAAATGATCATGCAAATACAGCGTAATCAGGAAAAAAAAACTTGCCAAGTTATTTGTAATTTCATTTTCCTTATGAAAATTATCCACCCTGTATAAGTAGTATATAACTAGCTTTTACAACCAAAAGCTATTTAGATACTATTATTAAAGAAGCAATGCAACCAACCAAAATTGTTCTAAATAGTAAAAAAATAAAAAATTCCCTTTATTTTCTTGTCTTGATCAGTATTGAATTGTTTCTTATCTTATATCCAAACCAGTTTTCTGTATATCCTTTAGGCACTTTTCTACACAAGTAGCGAGGCCTGTACCAAGCCCACACTAACAACAGAGACAATGCTCCAATTTCACAACTTGGTACCAGCCTTACTTCAGTACTACAAATATGTATATGTAATGTAGAAACTGAATGTACCAGGGTAACTTATTCTGTGAATATGCTATACAGGTAATAAATTCCCCTGTTTTTTAAAGTCTTTCATATGGTCTTGTCCCAAATAAGGAACTTTACTCAAGAAGGATAGTAATAAATGTAGCAACATTTCCCAAACCATACCTTCAACATTTCCCTAATCAAGTTCCTTCTGAATTCTCATACTAAAAGTGCTTCATTTCACTATGCATTCTTACTGTTAAAAACATTCTCAAGATTTAAAACCACATTAATTCATTAAGATTTCCTTGAATCAACAATATATTAATGCTCCAGATGATTTTTCTATAAGGAGCAATCACTCCCAGAATTCTTTCAGTGGGAGTAATTTAAAATTTTTTTTACAAAGTACAGCAGTAACATTTTGTGATAAGAAGTAACTTAACTAATTATGAATTATTTTATTATTTCAAAAGGTGAAATTTGGCACCAGATTAATTTAGCAAATTAAATCACCAGTTGTAAGCACAATAAACACAAATCATGACAACGTTTTCTTTTATTTTTTACACAAAATTGGATTATTCACAAGTGCACCAATAGAAACTTCTGGAAGTTAGATAGAGCTTATTTTTGGCAGCAATACTGCATAGATCTTATGCAGAACTGCAGAAGTCTACAAGAATGTGCCTATTAATTAATGTACTTCTTTAAAGCAGCAGAAGCCATATTCGTTTTTCCATAGCAGTAAAACAACTTCTCAATATTTTTTTAGGCTGATTTTTGGTTGGGAATTACACCAGTATGCTCCTTATCTGGAGCACTAATACACTATATATTTATGAAATTGTTAACATAAATATTTAATAATAAAAATCCTATACAGCTGAAGCACACTAATGATTATCCCTAGGGACATATTAAAGTCTTGCAAAGCCTAGGAAAAATTTTGTAGATGGGGAGAGAGCAACCTCAAAACTTAACTCCATAAATAAGTCAAATATAATTCAATACTATTTATTGACTACAGTTTGAACAATACACAAAGAGACACACAAACACACATCTCTATCTACAGTTTGCTTCTGGCTTTGGACGTAGCAAAATCTCTGACTGTTGATCCAAAATCAAGCATCATCAACATGTCATTTTTAATTCAAAGCTTATCTAAGGCTTTCAACTTTTCATCTGTCATTACTGCCCTTTGTTTTTTTATTATTATTGATATTTTACTGAATGATCTCTTTACACTGCGTTTAGTGTTTAGTTAAGCATAGGTAGATATGAACAGCAATAGATATGTTGGAGAAAGTGTTGGCAGCTCCTCTTTCTCCTGAATTACCAAATTTCTTTGTAAAATGGCTAAGCAAATATCTACAAAAGAACAAGCTATAAGAACATGTTAAGGAAAAATTACGAAATAATAGGTTTCTATGAAACAACTAAAATCGATATTGTGGTACTGAAACAGTTGCAAACCTGTTTTTCAATAAAACATACATTTCTGATTATTTTTTGATATTTTACTTTCATTTGGGGAGCCCAAGGTAACTGCATCCACTTGCTCTTCCCTCCAATCCAGCCCCAGTTATCCCCATTCAATTTCAGAACTGTTCCTTTACAAGTACAGTCACTTTGTTGTTTAACATAGTCTATGAGCACTGATAGACAATTTTGTTCTTCAAGACTGTCCTTGAGAAAAAAGTAAAAATTTATAGCTACCCTTTGCTTTTCATGAGATCATAAAATCTCCTCTTAACCTCCTGTAAAGTGCTGGCATACACTACTACCAATGGGAACAGTCTTTCAAATACTAAATACTTATGAGCAACAATAATAAAAATAATGAAAATAATACTAAAGATAATTTCAAAAAATCATATCATAAATTATATATATATATATAAACAAGTTATCATACTAGAAGCTTATCAATATTCATAATCATAAAATTATGGACTGCTGGGTATCTAATATTTCGAGTATCATTCCTGGTAGCTTGTAGCAAATACACACGCTGATCGACATTAAACAAGAAAGATGATCAATATTGATTTTTCCAGTACAAAAGTACCGATCGACATTAAACAAGAAAAATGATCAATATTGATTTTTCCAGTACAAAAGTTTTACTCCGATCATCGAGCTTGAAGACAAACAAGTTTCATAATTTACTAATACTCAATCTCTTCAAGTCAAGTAAGAGGTGATCGTAGTTGGATGGGAATAACCTTAATAGTATCTACAGAAATATTGAACAAGTCTAAAGAGGTTATAATTTCCTTGTACACGTCACATTTGGAATATTGTGTTCAGTCTTGGGCTCCTTACCTTAGGAAAGAGACTGAATTGTTGGAAAGGGTTCAGAGAAGGGTTATGAGAATGGTGTCTGCAGGGGGGGGGGGGGCGAAAGGTGCCAGGGCCCCGGGCATCCAACACAAAGAGTCGAATTGAATAGTAAAACTCTTTCCACCCTTCCCCAAGGTCTTAGGTACAAAGCCCCAGGCATCATAGAACCTCTTCACACCACTGGGTGTCTGTGATGGAGGGGTTGTTATATAAGGAGAAGCTGAAATCTCTCAAATTGTTTTCTCTTCAAAAAAGAAGAGTTGGGGGAATCTGATTGAGGTGTTTAAGATTGTAAAGGGAATTGATAGTGTTGATTGCA